CAATGTCAGCTATTGAATCAGAGTGACAAAAATGCTTAAAAAACAATTTAGATTTTTACTATTGGTTTAATAATAAGATCTAATGTAATGAGTTTTGATAAATGTTGTTTTTTATTTTCGTGGATTTATGTACTAATATAATATGTAATCATACCTGAATATAATCATATGTATAATGACACATGCCTTTAGCAAATAAATGAGTAAATCTTTATGAATTTTTACTTACATGGTTTATAGACCCAAAAAAATGTTGGGGTGGACAAACGCCCCACTGCACTAATGCCGAAAAAAAACTCAGTGCACTAACGCAGGGTTAAGCATATTCCTCTTGTAACCCAATGTTCCTGCCAACTGCATAATTCTTTCTAACTCTGCATCCCGGTCTATAATGCTTTCACAGTATATAAAGGCCCTCCTAACCAATGCTCGAAACGCTGCTATTTTATACCTATAAGGGTCATTGAACAGAAAACGATTAAAAACAACTTAAATGCACTACTGTCTGCGAATACTACTATTTTTTATATTGTTATTTACTTTTCGTTTTTAATTACAATCAAATAATTTCCAAAAATAGCTTTTCCAAAAAACGATATAACACTTTTTTAATTAGTAATGTCATCTAATGTTGGTAATTAATTAAATTATTGGTAATTAAATAAATTAGTAATGTTGGTGTTGTGATATCAAATGATGCAATGTTATCTCTGCGCCCTTATCTTCTGAATCGGTAGACTAGTCGTTAATTGGTCGAACCATTCACATTCTTTATCATAGTAAGTATATAGCGTTAGGTGTATGTATATCTGTAATAAAAAATCACCGAAGTGGTCAGCTTTGGCAGACTAGCTTGTTCGGACACCGAGTTACTGAACGGCAAGCAATGCAACTCTAAGTTCGAAATTCTGTTTCGAATTGAATTCTTTGAAAAGTGATTCATCGTGTTTTAAAAGGTTTGTCTTTTTTGAAACACGACCGACGTTTAGATGGCTGATTAGAAAGTAAACGTTGTTGCAGATTCAACTGCATTAAATTTACTTTCCTGAACATTTTTAAAAGATATCTTGCTTTTATTCGTTAGATGCCATGTTATTTTCTTTAAAGAGTTGGAATATCTGTCATATTTTGAATTTGTTTACGTACTGATTTTGGTACTTAAAATATCTTTGAAGTTAATACGTTATTATGAAGCATCTTAAATTGTAGGTTTTAATTTAAATAATTTTTTTATAATTTAAACATTTGAAATCTTGTTTTAGTTCTTAATATTTTACCAGATTGTAGGTAGGAAATAGTGGAGTGAAATAAATTCCATTGTATACATTATTAAAATGTACGTACACACAATATGACTAACTGATCCATTCGGATATGTTTAAGTTGTTAATATATCTTAGAGGGGTTGTTGGGTTAGATTACACCACTATAACATCATTGAAATTCTTTGTGATATGTCATAAAATGTATTCTATTACATGAATAGATTTCTCGCATTCTTGNGTCCGCATGTGTTTCTGCGGTCACATGACCTGTCACGTGACCGCAACAACACGCGGTTTTTGTTTACAATATTTTGCACTACTATATTTTGTAAATTAATTAACAATGTTGAATAAAAATGTAAAAAATTACTGATAGCAATAAAGAACAAATATATAAGAAGACAAATTAGTATAAAAACGAACAAAATAATAATAAAATTTACAGAAGTGACTTCTATACATTGCATTTATGTCTCTGGTGCTCATTAACATGAAAATATGCCAATGAGCACCAGAAACAAATTTTTGCACCAACGTCAAAATAGGTCGCGCATCTAACAGTGTTAACGACTGTTAATAACTTAATAACAACTGTGAGAGTAGCTGAGGACACTAACCAGGGGTACTACTTACACGACTCAGAATTGTGGGATTCGGTCTTGACACTTTTTATAGGAGGGCTGTTTTAATTATGTTTAAAACGATCTGGACTTCACAGACCAGATCTACGTCTGAATTTCTTGACACCAGTTAATCAAATTTAGATACGCGGATTAACACGCGTTATCCTTAATTCGGGATTCGGAGGATCTAAGGAAACTTGAATGAAAAGAAATGTCTAAAAGAGTCCCAATCATTTTATAAAACAAATCAAAATATTTAATAAATCAAATAATAAANCTTGACACCAGTTAATCAAATTTAGATACGCGGATTAACACGCGTTATCCTTAATTCGGGATTCGGAGGATCTAAGGAAACTTGAATGAAAAGAAATGTCTAAAAGAGTCCCAATCATTTTATAAAACAAATCAAAATATTTAATAAATCAAATAATAAAAGTATACAACGATGAATCTAACCTCTATCTAAATCTACCCTAAACTATCTTATTTCTACTTAACGCGTGAGAGAGTTTACATCGATCTATTCAGAGCTTATATTACCTTCATCGTATTTTTCGTATCTATTCTGTATGAGGATATTCTTCTTTCTTAAAGTATTTCTCTTGTTCTATTTCTTTGACAATCTTATCGTATATTTATACCTCAATTAATCGGTCTCGTATGGTCTTATCCGTCTGGTAAAACGATCACTTGTATCGTATTCTATTCGTATGGCAATACCTCTTCTTAACGGACTGCCTCTTAACTTATATCAAATTCTTCCATATGGCAAACCCTTTCCTTGACAGACCGCCTTTTTCGAATGTCGCACTTATTCTGTATGGCAAAATATAATAACACAAATAACAGATTAATGAAATTTAATTTTTATAGTAATTGTACAAAAAATAAAATACATTGCACAAAGTTAATAAATATGTTAGAATTTAACATTAGAAAATTTTAATCATGTAAACAGTGAATTTTACTTTATAAAATTGATTGGAGTAGATATGAAAATGAAAGTAGTAATAAATTACTAGGCAATTAGAATAGTGCTACGTAGAAGAAATACTAGCAGGAATGTGGAAGAAGATTTTTATATGGATTTGGAGTGGGAGGTTATATTGNAAAATATAATAACACAAATAACAGATTAATGAAATTTAATTTTTATAGTAATTGTACAAAAAATAAAATACATTGCACAAAGTTAATAAATATGTTAGAATTTAACATTAGAAAATTTTAATCATGTAAACAGTGAATTTTACTTTATAAAATTGATTGGAGTAGATATGAAAATGAAAGTAGTAATAAATTACTAGGCAATTAGAATAGTGCTACGTAAAAGAAATACTAGCAGGAATGTGGAAGAAGATTTTTATATGGATTTGGAGTGGCAGGTTATATTGTGCACACTTTCTAATCACGTGCAAAAAATCAAAATTACAATGTAATAATTTCAAGTAATATGGCGTTATGCATATATTTTTCATATATATTTAAATTACTATACATATTCGACACCTGATTAATTCCGTAGTTGAATAATAATTAACTTAAATTATTTGAAAACTATAGTGTGTGTTATTCTCTAGTGTTAAAACTTATTTTTTTGTTAACTGATACAATTGTAAAACGAATACACGATGACAAAAGTATAAAAAAATTACAGAAGATGCAAAAAGCTCCATTGCTGCATCTTTGATACATTTTATGTTGAATTTTATGAAATTCTTGATGTTAATTTTTTATAGGAAGTGAAATAGATCAAGATAAAAGCACTTCTTCGAGAATTATTATTGGAATTTGGCTGCTGGTGACAACCGTACTTATATCAGCATACGGTGGTGTTCTCTTTTCCTACATGACTTATCCCGCTTATGACAAAGTTCCGACAACAATTGAAGAACTCTCAAATGCAGTTAAAAATAATGAATATTCTTGTGGAACTATACCATCTTCGGCTTACGAGAAAATGATGGTGGTAAATTACTTTAATACATTTTTACTATACATTTTGTATTTGAAAGTTTACATACGTAAGTGAAATCATGTCGGTAACAAATTGGATTATTTAAGGTAATTATAACAATATAACAATATAGTGGGAAAACGCTAAAGAAGTCTTTTTCAGAAAAAATGAAATCTAGGTAATAATACATGTTAAATTTTTTTTCGTTATAGAATGCCCCCAAAGGTATGGTCAGCATTTTAGGTGATTACATAAGAAATAATCCAGATAAGAGCTTTTACTCTATAAACGAAGGAATTGAATATACCATACAACATAAACATGCACACATTATATCTGACGCTTATGTAAATACACTAACGATCGGACAAAAAGGAGCGTTAGTAATTTCAGAGGAATCGTTTTCAACATATACAATAGTATATCCTATGAAAAAACAATTTAAATTTGAAAAAAAATTTAATAAACGGTAAGTAGTTATTTTTATATCATTAAAAACTTTTAATTATTTAAATGTAATCGGTTTAAGTTCAATATGTCATTACTTATATTTGTACATCCGTTATTTTTTCACATATTATTACTTTATACATCGTTGAATGTAGGTAATTAAAAATTGATATTTTAATTATTTCCATGCATTTCGAAGATTGAAGAAGTAGAGTAAAAGTCAGCAGTTTATATCTTTCTTTCATGCTTTATTATTTTCTTTGACAATTTATTATTATACACTAATATGGTTAGATTCCTGTCAAGAAGCAATGATGAGAATTATTTGATAAATTGTTATGAATCTCTAAAAAATAGCAACATTCTGTTCAGCGAAAAACATAAAATTTGTTTAAATTTATTTTAAGAATTTAAGAAAACTTCTTTTTATGAAATCAGTTAGCAGTAGTAAAAAATCTGTTCATGTACTTTTACATGACCCAATAACGTTGAAAGCCAAAAGAACACAAGTACCTGTAGTGTATGAATTTCAGATTAGCATGGCACGAAACAAAATCAAACATCAAACGATAATCTCAGTATTTCGTAAATAATTTAAGAAATTTAATGTAAAAAATAATTGAAATAACTCGCACAGAAATCATTAGCATTCTAACGGTTATCTTCATTTGGAGTACTGTGGCTTAGAGTGTTCATCGATAATTGGGCTGAAAATTCAGCAACGAGTTATTTAACTGCCCCCGCAAAATGTGGTAGAACAGTCTGTTATAATATGTTATTTGAAAACTTTTATATTTTTATATAGAACAGCAAAAGAATTAAACTTAGGGCGAAGATGGGCTTTATAAAAAAACAAGCTGTTACCCGCGGCTTCGCCCGCACAGATTTTGCAATTTGATAAAAATAACCCTCCTTCACTACTTCATTAAGATTACGATTCTCAATCATTAGTTTTTACTGATTTGGTAAAATTACTGATTTTTGTTTGTTTTAAACTATGGACCGCTAATGCATCTAAATTCATGTTTCAAATATTATTAAATTCAAAATAGATTCGATAAATCTGAGGTTTTTTTCGAAACATAAATCACGTTATCTGAAAATTCCTGAAGTATAAATTCTTACAGACGTATAATAGAGTTTCAGTTACCCCAGTACTTATTTGTAAACCACGTTTCTGGTACATCCTCTTAGCCCTTTTCGAGCCTAAGACTTTTTAAGACTTAAGTTTCTCCCTTTCCCTCCCGCCGTGGAATTTCCAAAAATTCCTTTTTAGTATGCATTCTTATGGGGTACCTGAACTGTGTACCAAATTTTAGTATTTCAGATTCAGTGGTTTGTTCTCGGCGATGATGAATCAATCAGTCAGCCAGTCAGTCAGTCAGGAGATTAAATTTTATATGTATAGATTGTAAATGCTAATAATAAGTAAAATTGTTATTAATTCTGGCTCTACTAGAGATTATGACAACTTCCTTAATATTTCCATCCTTTTGACCTTTCTCTACCAAAATTGAACAGCATCAATTCCGCGAATAAGCAAACCTACTAAAATTTAACAAACTTTTGACAAAAAGTACAAGAGTTATTAAGTTTTAAAGAGGCTGAACAAAATCGTGCTACACAGGCACGCACATAGTAAGACAAAGACACAAACATCTATACTCTACACGCACACCTCTCTAGATTTTTAACCGATTGCCATACTTTCCTTCTGCTATACATAACATCTGTAAAAGTAAAAATTTCCTTAACTACCCTGACACCTATGTAAAGATATTTATTATATGTCACGTTTTATAAGAATGTTTTTTTTTTAATTTAAGTTGCAAATCATATCTTATTTTACATAGCTTGTTTTACATAGATTTTACTTTATTTGTTTCATTGTACATTGTACTGTGCTATCGTTGGCTTCTACAGATAAATCTAAAATTAGTTTTTGAGTTTTTCAATTGAAGTTACTCGAATACGAATATAATAGGTATATTTGTAAAGTTTATTAGATTGATCAGTTAGTACAACGAAAGATATGAGCGATGTGAGAAGAGGACCCTTTCGAAGAAGAATTTCTACGAGTAAACTGTCCTTTGTTTAGATTTTTGACGGTGAAAAATGTCCGAAAAATGCACAGGGCCTGCTTTTCGTCATGCATGAACCATCGACGAGAAACTAGTATTGAGATGTTTTATAGAATCGGTCACTGGTTGAAACCTACATGCATTTACAAACCTACAAATTATTGATTTAGAATAAGCAGAGAATATACATTATATGGAATTATACCACTTTATTATTAAAATTTGAGAATTTTCTGTTCTCTCAGAAAGTTGCGTATTATTATGCAGATAGCTTTTTGTCCTTAGTACAGTGTTTCATTTCATAGGCCAACTTAAGTTTTTTTTCTGAAAGCCAAGATTGTAGTCATTGTATGGATTGAACAAAGAAAACAGTAAACTGAATTTTTAACCGTCTATTTACTTTCCCAAATTTATCATATTGTTCATCATTACATTACTTTAAAACTGCTTTATTGATAATATACATTAATACAAATTTTACTTGTGCATTTTTTCCTGTTAAGATTTAGGTTCAATTAGTTTTATTTCTATTCAACAATGTTTAAAAAATTTCGACAAAACATCGAGACTAAATGAAAGTAAATTGTACATCTGTTAGCTAAAGTTCTACTCTAATTAAATGAGTTTTTCTTCTTATATACCGATTAAAGTTGTGTAACAATCTCATTTTCTAGACTTCATTATCCCTGTTTTTGAAAATAAGATCAATAATTAGCAATCTTTCAAATAATTTTTACTTAAAACTTAATTTAAATGACAAAGATTAAAAACTATTTTTGTAGATGTATGTTTACCGATCTATCAGGAAAATAGACTTTTATAAATTTACTACGAGAATCAAATACAAATATGAGTTCTAGCAATTTAGAAAATCACTTATTAAAAAACCTTTTGACAAATAGTGAATAATAGCATATTATTACATTGAATTTTTATTTCCATATAGAATTAGAAGATTAGTAGATGCTGGTGTATACGAAAAATTGAGACAGCAAGAATTTCCTGCAAAGATCAGCAACAACAAAGAAACATATCATCCACTTATTATCGAAGACATTATTAGCCCTTTGATATTATTGTTGTGTGGATATAGTATCTCTGTTATAATTCTACTCGTTGAAATACTATTAAATAGAAAATAATTTAAATTATTAAAAAAAATTAAAAATATCAATATCTGAAAAATTAAACATTCTTTCTATAAACATTTTTAAGCTTTAATAACATTTGCACCAAGAACTATCGTTTATTTTCAGATAGAACAACTATCATGTTTATTATTACACGGTATAAATAAAGATATTAGATAATATTATACTATATTATTGTAAAATTTATTCCTTTACCATCAATTGTCCAATACAAGTAGGAGCTAACGAAATATTTACTTGTTAAAATAAAATAAATAGAGTTAGTCAGGGGCGCCGCTAGCTGCTTGAACAACCGTGTGCAATACCGATTATGCCGCCCCCTGTTTAACTATGACTACCTGCGCTGAGCTTGCCGGAAAGGCTCTTTAGTGTTGTCTCATAAAGGTATGAAAAAAGAAAAGAAATACTTTACAAAAAGAACTATTTATTATTACTAAGTTATTTTTATTTACTTAAGTGTAAAACCATATAAATATTTATCTACAGAAATTGAACTCTTCTTGCCTTCATGTTTGCGAAATCTGCTATCAATTTTCTTGTATCCAAGCTGTCTAAGATTTCATGTTCAATTGAAAATATAGCTATAAACTAAATTACTTAGTCTTTGCTGGTGCATTGTTGATCTTAAATAAATTAATTAATTAAATAGTTTTTTATAATTTTTAACTTTGAAAAGGACCTTTCACCAAATGCAACTGAAACCGGCAATGAAAGTAATATTCTTAGTGCTTTTGCTGTGTTTGGAACTGTTGAAATTAAGTCATTAGTAAAAAGATATTGTAATGGGGTTTGTGGATCATTACACTGGTTTTCTGGAAAATGCAACTTTAAAGTATTGATTTTTTATTGATTGTATTGATTAAACAAATTGATTGTATTGATTAAACAAGTATTGATTAAACAAATGAATACTGTCAATGTCTGCTTCACTACTTGAATCGTCTTTAAGCTTCAGATTTAAATCCTAACCAAGTTAAAATATCATTAATTATACTTCGACCCACGTCAGAAGAATTATTAACAAAATAATTGCAATTTGATAAGCAATAGAACTGTTCGAATGCGTACAAGTACAAATTGAGAAGGAAGCTCTGTAGGGATTCCCTATTTTCGCCAAACCTGTCAACTTCTATCATACAGCACGACTATTGGTACTTGGCTTTCGGGTGCCCGCCAGATGGTTCAACCTGCCGACAGACGTTTCGCATTGCATCTTAATTCTGATAAATGCCAATAGAGGCGCTGTTAACGCTATAATATAAATAAGAATATAGTAATTGTGCGCCAGTCGGATTTTTTTCTCCATGCGAAGACATTTCTTATGCTATAAGTAGGGTGGGTATTATGACAATGACTAATTATTACGTGACCGATCGTTCGATTTGCCGTCCCCTGGACGTGCCGCCCGTGTGCGGTGCACGCCTTGCACGCTCGCTTACGGCGGATCTGGAGTTAGTTACGTCTTTAATAGAGGCAGCCAAAAATCTTTTAGTAAATATTTTCTCAGAATTAATTTTTCCGAACACAAAACAAATGGTCAGCGTGATTAATTTATTTGATAGTATGAAGTCACGCTACACGTAAACAATCCGTACAGGCAATATTTAAAATTACAATTATAAATTATACATTTAAATCTTCTTATATAAATAAATTTAGTATAGGGCCCTATTGCAGGCCCGATCGCCATATTAGCTGTTTATTCCCGAGTTACTGAAATAACCACAACGTTGCACGAGGTCGTGTTATAAGAACGTTCAATCGTCAGCACGACTTACTCCAAACATTAAATGTTTATTTTTACAGTTCTAATTGAATTAATTAAGTTTTCTTTCTTTGATAAATTTCAAACTGAGCTAAGCACACGTCTATAATTTTAGCAAGAGGAAATAACTTGTAGAAGGAGTTCGTTTGAAAAAGAAGTTTCTATATAAGAATTTGTAATGTGAAAAAGCCCGGAAAATCATCACGTGGCTAGGTGTTACTGAAGCGAAATTTTCATCTTGTGTTCAATGGTTCAATCTGCTTGCCAATAATTCGTTATTCTATAGAAGAACAAAACATACTAAATAATAATTAACTCTAAGATTTTGTATATAATATTAAAAAATATATATTTAAACATCCAAAATCAATTTTTATATATTGTACACAGCATTTTGTCTTCGAAACTGTTATATAACTCAGTTTATTAACTGTACACTATTCAAATGATTATTCTTCATTAAAACTGTTGCGTGTTGTTTTCCAAATGTAAGAAGTTAAAATTAATTAATATTTGTTATAAATTATATAAAA